CCCCCCCCCCCCCAATTAAAATAAAATCTATTTGTATATTATGACGTTACAGAATAGAAAAATTGGCAACGGTTTTCACCACTCCGCCAGTTCAGACAAACAAAATAATTATGTAACAAAACTACTTTACATTCTTGGTCGCAGTCAAAGAAGATAAGAGGGGGGTGGGGGGGTGTGTGTGAAGTTTAAAAAAAAAAAGGGGGGGGGTTTGAAGTTGTCGCTAGGGCGACTAGTCTAAATATTACAGTTGACGCAGCTAGCTCAATAGATACATTGTTATTTTTATAGACTTTGACATTCCCACAAATCCCCCTACCTAAGCGTTCTCCTTATTCAAAAACCCCCACCTCCCCTCTCAGTGCGTACATAATATAACGAAGGATAGTTCAAACTTGCCAGATCTTTATTTGAAAGGGCTCAAACTCCATCAATCAAAATTATTTAATTTTTTTTTAATCAGAAAAATTACCCAAATACTTTTCACACGGCTTCTGAAAATCGTAGTTTTGGCGGGTCTCGGCGTACAATCGTAAAAAATCTAAAAATCGTACATTGTACGCCAAAATCGTAAGACTAAACAGGTCTGTGATATATATAGAGTAATCGAACATCACAAGGACTAAATTACTTCGTTTGATGATATGCACTAAAACAGTTAATGTACCGTTACCTAATGTGACAAATGCATGAGCCCTGAGCCTAGTCGACATTTTGGACCCCTTGAACTGAGACAGAGGCTGGGAAGCTTGGGAAGATGGTGCTGTCATCTGTGAATTGCTGTCTTGAGAATCAGACTGACCCTGCTGGCTGCATGATCCTTCTGTCTGGCTGCCGCTAGAATCTTGGTGTTCTGATTAAGTTTACGCAAAGAATTAATTTGCAACTTTATTTCTATTACCTTTTTTTGCCTCTAATAAGTCAATTTTTAATTAACCAAAGAAAGATGATTACTAACATTTACACATTTTTTTTGCAGACATAGATTTGGAAGGTCACAGAGTGAGGGATAAATAGAAAGATAATTTTAGACACCTGTAACACTATACGTAGAGAGCACAACAGACTAAAAGGTAAAACAAACAAGGAAACAATTGAAGGTTCAGAGAGGTCTTACCACTGTCACCAATGCAAGGGGCTGCAATGATGGACTGAATGAGGAGGGTAACACGTTTGGGCATTCTTGTGGGACATCGTTGACACACTTCTCCTAGTGTGAACATGTATTTGATCATTTGCTCTTCATCAATTTGCATCCCTGAAATTTTAAAAATTTTATTTACATTATTTATACAATTCAAGATATAAAAAAAACAACTCTTTAATAAAAATTTCATGATTTGCTCTTAATTTATTCAAAAATTATTTAATTTTTCTCAAGAGAACATGTTTATATATAAATATATTTTAAAAGTTAAGTTATGATCCGACTTTAAATTTTTGAGATTGGGTGGATGGCGGTGCTAAATCTGTCAATTTAAAATGAAAACACACTTACAAGTCCCATTTCTATTGTATTTACATGAGTCAATTTAAACTGTAATATATTCTTTAAAAAAAGTTTAATTCCATAATCAAATTAATGGAGGGAAAAAGTAGTTATGTATGTTTTATAAATAATTCTTTTTAGCAGCATACACACCCACTCCATTATCTGAATTCAAAATAACTTGAGACATATATTTATCACAGTCTGTCATGAGCTCTTCTCCCCAGGCCTGCATCTGTCTTTGTGATGCTTCCTGCTCTAGGCAGTTGTGTAACTGAATGGGAATATTGCAAGGAAGGTTAACAATAAAAAACCTTTGCAAGTGAACAAAAAATAAATTAAGGTTGAACATTCTGGGAGAGGAGGTTCAGGATTTTTTAAAAAAGTATTTAAAAAAACGTACAACACTTATTTTTTGGAACCCAGATATTGTAGTTTTTATTATCAAACATCCAAACCCATTACTGAATAAAAATTTATACATTTAAACACTTGCTACAGCCACATTTATTATAATCAAAATTCTGGACAGAGATCAATAGGTTTTGTTAACTCAAAGTTTAGTGTGTTATGAAAATAGAACCAAAGGTTAACTAGCAACTCCAGACTGGGTTATCCCCCTTAACTACTTTAAAATTAATGGACATACAAACTAATCACCAATAGGAATGTTTGTTTCAGTTATTTTTAAAATTAACAATTTTACTAAAAAAAATAACCTGTTGCTCTTATCATGGAACCACTATCACCTGCTCTTTGTGAAAGTTCCATACATTTGACTTAAGTTTGTGTCCAAATGTAGAGCGAAATAAATGAAAACTTACCTGAGAGACACAGTTGACCATTCCAGAAATAAAAGAAGGTGGGTATGAGAAATTCCGAAGTTTTTGTTTCAAATCCTCTAAGAAAAATATAAATTTAAAAAATGATGGAGTGATTAATTGTACTTTAATAGTCGACTGTTATTCTTTTTTTTTTTTTTTTAATTTTAACTTGATCATGATACACTAAACACTTATGTCACTTAAGTTTTTTAACATTTTAAGTGATTAATTGTACTTTAATAGTCGACTGTTATTCTTTTTTTTTTTTTTAAATGTAACTTGATCATGATACACTAAACACGTATGGCACTTAAGCTTTTTAACATTTTGATGCAGACCATTGTATTGATTAAATGATTTTTAATCAGCTAATATTATTAAATATCATAATGCAGCTTCAACAAGCAGCTTACCTAAAATATCAGATATGGCACCAGGAGGTATTGATTTTGCAGTGGCCCCTAGCACACTAAGAATGTTGGTCCACTTGGCACTGGGGGAATCATCTGGAAAAGGGTATAAACTGCTTTGTTTACATTTACTGTGATAGTCACATTAGGATAAGCAATTGGCTAATTTTTACTTTATCACTCAAAACAATTGATTTGCTAAAATTCTACTACAAATTCTGTTTTTTAAATTGATATTTTGAGTATAAACCACCCCTTTTTATTACATAGATATTAAAATGTATAACAGAAAAAAACACTTTTTTTCTGAGTAATGTGCCACAAATAAAAAAATTGTTTGCTAATCTTTACTATATTTTAATTTTTATACTTTCTATACAGTAACAAATGTAGGTGTCCAAATAAAATTACTAAATCAGTCATAAGAAATGTTTAATATGCATTTTCAGTGTTTATAACTATGGGAGGATAAAAAAAATTAAAATTTTTTTTTTTTTTTTTTGATGAGCATAAACACAATTAGGAACCCTGTCGAAAAATCCATTTAAAATTTAGACACATAGACACTGCATGCCATAAACAGACTAAGATAATGCAGTCTCCAAACTAGTTAATTAATATATCTCAGAATGCAAACAAAGACAAAACCACCTTGAATTTTTTCTAAACACTTGCCACATATTTTTGTAAAATACTTCTTTAATGCAGAAAAAATTCCAGTCAGCAAATTTATTATTATTTTTTTACATCAATCTACTGAACGTAATACACTGTTAATTGAATACTGTAAATAACACACTGTACATTAAAACATCATAGATGTAGACAATAATAATATACTGTATTCTAGGCACTAACTTCTTCATGGCAAACTTTCTGTAGGAGTATTCGGTTATCTACCAATTAGTTTAGGATAATAAACATTCTACTGTAGTTAGAAAGGACATATAGATTCTTCCTAGCATTCAGCACCAGAAGGTAATTCATGACCACCAATATCGAAAAACTACCAATATGCATCAACATGTTGATTAACTTTATAAAAGAAGTTAACTGTTTTCTGATTATCTACATAAAACTCACGTGAAATAGGTGGAATTTTTTTCCAATGGTTAATAACTAATTCTTGATCAATTTTCACAGGTGTTTTTGATATTTCAGCCAAAAACATCCAAGCACACTGAAACAAACATTTTTTTTAAAGGCATTAAATTTAAAGTCTAAATTATAATACAATGAAAAAAACAATACTTCCATTAGATTGGATTCTTCAGCATAAGATAATGAGATACAAATGTATTTCAAGACAGCGATTTTGCAGACAGCTCATACCTCAGAATTAGCCCCCTCTACATGACTCTGCACTGCGTTCACAATAGAGGTTTTCAACTTCTTGGTCCTGGCCCAGTATTGGCAAGCCTTTTGTAAATAACGCCTGAGACAACAAAAGCAAAAAATCATTAAGTCTTTGGTTAAAATTTTTATTTCATTTAAAAAAAAATAATCATGAAGATACTAATGAAAAAAAAAAAAAGAAGTCAAAATAATTTTTAATTTAAAAAAGAATAATTTCTCACCTCAATTTTTCACAATTTTGATCAGTGATTATACTCAGAAGGTCCCATTCTATACCAGAACTTGAATTTCTGTAAATGATAAATTATAGCTTATGTTATAACTTAATTTAAAAGCATTAAAGGAAAAATAATTCTGCTTGTTTTATCATGAGAAAGATATATTACATCTTATAAAATATGATTTTATGAAATTATAATACTCAAAGGGAAAAAAAAAACTTATGACAAAGATATAAAATAGAAAAGCAATAATAAAATATTAGATATTTTATCACATAACTATTTCTTATGGCGAAAATGAGTTATTACAGTTACAAAATAAAATCAAAAACAATTTTTTTTTAGTCACCTCGTTGCTACTTTCATATCAAGAAGAATCATTTCCTCTAAAAGATCAAAACATTTTTCTTGTACAGTTGTTTCTCTATCCATAACCTGAGGCAAGATACCAAATACCCAAGCCCTGAAAAAAATTAAAATAAAATGTGTAACTATTTTAGTGCAGCTGATTTAAAGAAACATGAATCTTTGGGTCTGAAACAAAAACCAACTAGTTGACTTTGCCATGCTTATAAAATAAGAATCTTTTATTCATCCAAATAAATGGAGATGTTTTTTTTTTTTTTTTATTACATTGTACATATAATTATTCAGCACATCAATAAATACATAATTTAGTAAAGTAACATTATCCAAGTAAAACAAATTTAAACACCACACATCTGTAGAATAAGTTAATAACTATTTTGTTTATGCAGAGATTGTATTTTTTTTTATGATAGAAAAGTCTTTGTTTGAATTTTTTATACAGCTTTTGGCCTTGCTCATGCCATGTTAGATTATTATTAATAGTGACACCTAAGTACTTATGTCTCTACTTTCTCTACAATTTTATTTTTAATGTTGAGATCTGCAATCTGTTGTTTCCCCCTCAAGATAGCTACTTATACTGCGACAACTTGTTTTACAGTTACATCACTGCTAAATGTCGATTTACACAGTTTATAATGTATGTCTTATGTGTGGATAGCTTAACAACACATTTCATGAAATGCATGTTCTATTAACTTCTAATTTACACAATCTTTGTTTAACTTTTAAATATTTAGACCATATATTTGGACACAATTAAGTTCTTCAATGTTAAGTTAATTCATTAATTTAAAAAAAAAAAAAACAGCAGATTTTTTAGATACAAAGGAAATTGAAAATTATATTAATAAATTATTTGTTATCCAGGAATTGATTTTCTTAACCTTGACCTCAGATCCAGAAATTGAGAAAACCATTAGTTTTACTTTTTTTAAATTATTGAAATGAAGTTATATTACTTCTGCAAATATAAAAATCCAGCTAATTAAGTGTAGGAGAAATTACCACATGTAAAGAAGAATCACAGAAAAGTTCATATCAGCAGCAGGAAGTTAGCCAGAATATTCCCACCCAAGAAACGCACAGTTCTTAACATATGTCAAAATGACAGGTTAAAAGTAAATAATCACCAACTGTTGAGCTAATATTGTGAAAGATGACATTTGCGAATCTAAACTTGATTGCCTTTCATGTTAGTGAGTTCAATTTTATTGCTACCATTACTTACTTCTGTATCCGTTTATCTTCAGGGAAAGCTTTTAACAATTCTGACAATGCTTGGACAGCCTGTTTCCGCACAGAGAGTGCTGGGTCAGCGCATCTGTCTCGCAAGGCATCTAAATCCTTGACAAATGTAAAATTCAGCCAAAATTTCATTAAAACAATTAATTACAAACTAGTTAATTGTGTAATAGTAATAGTTTTAATGCATTAACTAATTTTAAATCTCTATTTGTTGAATGCTCAAACAATTTAGGAGATGATTGGTTTATCATAAGAGTGACATAAATAGTTCTGTACCTCATCTCTATATTCTGGTGCTTCAAGTTGAATGACTTTCTGCAATGCTTGTATGGCACACTTTCGAACAACAACCTTGGATTCTAATATCCGACGATGGAACATCGAAACAACACCTTTTGTATCAGGGAGATCTAGATAGTTGCAAAAGCATTACAATTAATTAGTAAAAGTCTACCTGGACTGTTATAGTAGGAATTGTACTTTAAAATTTAAATAGCATGTGAGTGTTGGTTTGGGTCATACATATCTAACCTGTTCTTAATATTTTTATAGTGCAAATGGCGAATCTAATAGACATTATCTCTCTGTCTAACTAATCATAATAACAATAAAGATTATTTGAAAATCACCCTTCATCCCCAAAAGCTCGAAGCGCGGTACCTACCACATTGAAGTAGAAAATGCAACTTACAAAAACTACATATGAGGATACCCATTCTAAGTCTTTCATACCTTGCAACCATAAACAACACAGGCCAATATACATCTACAAAATAATAGCTAGATAGACAACATCACCCCAGCAGGTGTTTGCGAAATAGATAAGTCTTCAAATCAGTTTTGAAAGACTGCACTGTCTGGCTGTTCCTGAGAGCGATAGGAAGGGTTTCCAAATTGTTGGGCCAGCAAATGCCAAAGTGTGCCCCATCGTAAGTCTCAAGGCGAACACGTGGTATCTTTGGTTGACTTCTAACAGTAACTTCCCATCCCACAATCAAATAACCCTTACACAAACATAAATGTGAAAGTTTTACTAACTTACACTAAGCAAAAAGTAAAAAAAAAACATACATGGATTGAATCCAGGTGTTAATTCAATGGCACCAAAGTACCCAGCACTGACTCTGCCTAGTGGAGTTTTGCTGTTCTTTTTATCAGATGGTGTATGACTGTTTCTCATTGTCTGTTCAATTGTGTCATTCTCTTTATCATGATTTTCTACACTTTCTTCAGTAGGAACTTTATCAGTGCAATCTGCATCTAATGAAATATCCCATAATATTCAATGAATTCAACTTCCTGAATCCATTCAACATAAAATAAAATTTTTAAACATTACCAAATTAACCTACTTGTCATCTACAGCAGGATAAAGTATTTTCTATAGCATATTGATAATTCACAGTTTATCATCTCAAAACAAAAAAAACTTTTTGATTGAAGAAAAGTCTCTTAGACAAGTCTGTGTTACAGTACAATATTGAATCACAAATTATATGCATATTTTCAAATAGAGTAGCTGTGCAGTTGTGATATTTTTTTTTTAAAGGTCAGATATATAGTAAAAAAATCTGTAAGCTTTAAATTAACAATATTCACTAGCATAAAACGTAAGTCCATGGTTGTCATGGGTTAAATAACATAATATAATTTTGATAACTCTTGTCACGGAAATTATTCATTCTTGTCAAAATTGAGCCCATTTATTATATTACATGGAGCAGTATCATTTCAATTTTATTATCTTGTCTTTTATGTAATCTATATGCGTGGAGAAACATATAATCAAAATCAGATCCCATTGTCTTAAGTATATAAATGAAAATCTGTTCCACATCAACAAACCTGTTAGTCTAGCTAAAGACATGACTGGAGTGGGCATAAATTGTTTAGCTGTGGGTCTGGCTTGTTCTGCTACAGGAGTTATTACTTCCTTGATGGTCCTCACAATGTCATTATGCTTAGAGTTGGTGCACGATGAAAAACCTAGAAGGGCCCTTGAGCTTACACTAAAAAATAAACAAATAACGAGTTTATTAATGTTTAAAAACATTTTTATTAAAATCAAAGATTGCTGGTATATAATTAAATTACATAATTTTCTATATAACAATGTCACTGACGCTACCATATGGCGCCGACTTCACTAAATAATATTCATAAGTGCTAAATGAGATTCTTAAAAATACTGCAAGTGGGTTTGGTGCGTAATATTTGTTTGTTTTATGGAAATTGTTTAAATTTAAACGTGATATAAATTTGCGGTAAAAAAAGGGATTGGCATTAGAATATTAATATATAGTTTAGGGGCGTGAAGGTTGCAAACCTGTGGGAGGAGGAGTAGTAGAAAGAGATTAAGAGAGAAAGAGAGAGCCGTAATTGGGATTCTTTTAAAGTGCTTCACTTGAATGTATGTTTTGCCAAGTAACATGGAAAGTTCACACATCGCGGCTGCCATTGTCTGGCGGGCTATAGCTAGAATTAATATTTTACATTCTCAACTTGTTTTACCAAAAAATTATTATTTTTTAAATGCTTAAAAATGACTTTGTATTTTATCAAGACTGACAGCCACACCTAGCTTTGAATGCAGTTCCTCTTCTTTGCTTAAAGAAAAAAAAAAATCTCTATTGCAATGAAGAGTGTAGTAAAATTTATTTTGAGCATTCATTATCTTAACAAGTACCTTGCATTTACATCAGAGCATCTGCTCAATATGGTGCAGATCATACTTTTGTGATTAGTGAACTGTGACAGGTCAGGGGGTACATCTGCTGCTCAGAAAAATAACATTAACAAGCAACACCTTTCAAAACAATTGGGGGGGGGGGGGGGGGTGAGAGATGTAATAGAATTCTCTATCTTTTAAAAAGGAATTAAAATTTAAATATTTACGAACTATTTTTAATGGAAATGTTGCTGTGCCAAAGGGTATCAAGTTCACAGAGGGCACTGTGATTAAACTCACCTGATAAGATCCGTTCGGGCTGCTCCAAGAGCCTTAAGATAACATCAACAGCAAAGCCTCTCTGAGTGACCTGTTCACAATAGACATACAACACCAATAACCATGTGAATGAATGAGAACTTAAAACTGACAATACTTACTTATGTGACGTGACGTACGTTGTCTACGGGTTGGTCCCCTGCGTACTAGCAACAGACCAATTTGTAAGGGCCTAGAATCCCTGTTTTCTAGCCCCTACCGAGCTGATGTGCTGAATGACCTTCTAGCCCCTACAGAGCTGATGTGACTCATGTTCCAAGTATCAAACAAATGATGCAGAGATTCAGGTTTTTCTTATTTATTTGCTACATATGCATAACAGTGGAAAAACTTCATAAGAAATAATCTTCTGGTGTTCAGAATAAAAAATTGGGTCCAGAAAATACTGCACATGCTATAAAAAATATAGTTACACAAGTCCTCTGCTGTACATAGAAAATAATCACTCTATACACAAAACTAACTTCCTTACATCCAAGCCACAGCATGCGCCACTGTCTCGCTCTCTAACTCCTAGCTTCCTGTTCACACACTCCTCTTATCACGTGGTTCCTCCCGACACCACAACAGTCATACATGACTGAGCAAAACTCGTGGGGTACATGGGGAAACAAAACCCACAACTGCTCAATTGTCATCATCAAAGCAGATACAGAAAATCTCACGCGATCTGACAGTGACAACTTAGAGTAGTTAATATAAAACAGAATAGAAGGGCCCTACTTTTAAATGCACATTGATTTAGTCACAAATTATGCTCTCTTATCTCAATCAAGTTTTTAAAAGTATCATTAACAATTTTACCTGACTTCAACACTTTTCGATAAAAATGACCCTAATATAAGCGACTTCGTTTTACCTGTTGTATTATATATATATAGTAAAAGTAAATAACCAAAATGCGTAAGGATAATAAATTGATTTGTAGGTTTTTTTTTGGACATTGACTCATTTATGCATAAAATGATCACAAATTTCAGCGTACAATTTTGTATGCAAACAAAGGAAAGGATTATGACATTATTGGAAAGACTCATCAACTTTGCTAACAGTTTGTTTTTAATTGAACTCAGGAGTGTGCTACGACAAGACTGTCATAACTGTTGTATTTATATGCATTTGTCAAGAACACGCCCGAGTGCAGATTTTACTTCCCTGAGCAAGCCTGTACTTTGTCTTGGAAGTAGTGGATGCACTTATTAATTGTTAATCTGATTATTGCATAATAAAGAACATTTATTTCCCCCAGGATTAACTTATATACATGTTTGTTTTCTGACATAATCCATTTTTTTCAACAGTGACTGCCTCAATTTGACAATTTTTCTATCAGATATGTTGGTTTGTCAGCCTCAAGGTTTTAAACAGGAGATAATTCATACAAAATTGCTTTAATTAATTTTACGACAAGCACAGCAATTTAATAGAGAAAGAGCAAAGTCCAAGTGATTTTTCAATTCACTATCTATTAGAAAAAGAAGATATAAACAATATTTTCAATAAATGACATTTTTGAAATAGTAATAGCGGGACAGAAATCGAGACTCAAATTGTTCCATTCATTTGGGATGCCAACGCAACATATGAGATGGGAGCTCAAAATGGGACGTTAGTTAAGTGGCGAAATTTTAATTTTAAAATAGAATTTATGGTGAGATGCCAATAATGAAATGTATGTTTACCTTCTTGTGTTTGGAAAGTCGCTTCAGCCATTCCAGCATCTGAGCAAAATCTAGGTCAGGCAAACAGTCCAAAAGTTCAATAACAGCCTGAGGAAATGTCCAGAAAAGTTTGAATGAAATAGTAAAAAAGTTGAAAGTGGAATTATAATTTATAGTTACTAAAGATTAACATTTATATCACCTCCGCAGCGTGTGATCTGTACTCTGTTCGATCAGGAACTTTGCAACAAATATGCTGCAACAGTATTTTCAGACTCTGCACACATCGTTCACCCATTTCTTTGGTTAGGTACCTGTAAGAGATTTAAAAATAATTATTGTTACTGATGGGGCTACCCAAACAGTCAAGAATATATTATGTTGTTTAGATTTAAGAGATGACATAGATCTAAAGGTAAAAAAACAAAACAACTCACATTACAAAGTCCAGAGCATGTCGTCGAATCAGCAAAAGTGGACGATTGAGAGATGCAAAAACTTTTCCATCCTCTAAAATTAATATTTGCTCCAAAAACTCCCTGAAAAGCTGGAAAATAGCACATAAGAAAAATACATACATGAATTTGTTTCAATTTCTTTGGAATTGTTATCCAAGTGTCAAAACTTAAAGGTACACTTTATAAACTAAATAATTTAAAAGTATGGCTTCAATTTTAAAAAAACAACTATATTAAATGGTTGCATTTTCAATAATATTTCCATGATCTATCAATCAAAATACAACCCGTCATAATAAGTAATTTGAGACATTTAAAAACAATACAACTCACTTCATTAACAATGACTGTAACATGACCGTGAAATGGCTGACACAATAAATAAATAGCTTTAAATACAAGAATTCCAGAACTGCATTTCCTCTTCCTGAAATGTTAAGATATTTAGAAATGACAGCATGCCAAAACAATGGTCACGGCAAAACAAACTCTGGCTATTGTATTAACTGAAGTTAGATGAATACAAAAAATACACATCAAAAGTATATGAACATGTACACACACACAAACATACACCTAGACAGCAATTCACCTCTCCATGAATCTGAATAACCCAAGGGAACACAATGTGAGGAAGATACGACTTAGCACTATTGGCCTCGCAGGAGTTGCCGGAATTTTCATTGTGTCCATGTCAAACTAAATACTGGACTCAATCTCAGAGTTTTAATTCAGAGTTATACTTCTATAAGATGAGTTGCCAAGTACCATCCACCCGGGTGCTGGTGGTGTTTTTGCTGGGGATTGACCCAGTTTAGACTGCTCAGCCACCCAGCATGCACACACACATATATTAAACATGAATAACAACAGCAATGTTAAAGGATTCGTTCAAAAGCAAATTTCAAAATGCAAGTGATAATTTATTTTTTTTTTTTGCCTGAAGAAACCTCTGATATGGCTTGGTAAAAGTAAACATGTCCTCAGGTGTATCAAGAATATGTCAGAGCTTTTAAATTATGACATCCACGTTTTAATTTCAATTCTTGCTTCTATGCATTCCATGTGCGTCAGATCACTCCAAGATAAAATCTCACAACCCTGCCTCCCCCAACAACTGTTCTTCATTGTGAAAAAAAAAGTTTACAAAAAAAATAATATAGAAACTGTTCCTAACACAAAGATCAATTTTCACAAATGCTTTCTAGATCTAAAATCCATCCACTCAAGCCCAACAAAACAAGAGCACGGCTTACCACTGTCCCATCGCTTCCGACATAGATTCCGGGTCAACTTTTGCAAGGTTCAATAACACTCCTATCAGCTGTATGGCAGTAGACTCTGATTGGCGCAAGGAGTACTTCTCACAAATTAAAAGAACATCCTACAATAAAAAGGTAAGTTCTGTTGTTTCTTCTCAGTGTTGGCACTGTTCTGAACCTTTGGCTCAAAATTATTAAATTTATTAATATAACATATCTTGCCATTTTAAAAAAAAACCATTTGACCCCAATTAATATAAGGTAAAAAATTGTTTTTCCTCATTTTCCTGCTTATGGCTTGTGTCTTATTTTTTGTGCAGACCCATTTACTCTTACGATTTTGGAGTACAATGTACAATTGAACTGTGTACATTACATATACTGTAAGTTTATTTTTTTATTAAGATAATGTATTGATAGATTTTGTGATGATATTGTAAGATTTTAAGAGTTTGAGGGTAAACAGGTCTGTTTTTGTGTGTATTTAGATACATTGTAAAAATCCTGTAGGTGTAGATATATCAACAAATATAATAATACAAACATTTCAACACTGTCTAACCCCACTGAATCCATAGGCAAACAATTCCTTTACTTTGACTCTGGTATTCCCGAAGAAACCATAACTTAAGCATACCAAAAACTAAACACCATCCTTTACATTTTCAATAATTGGATACATTTTTTCTTCACTTGCTACCTGAAGTAGTAAATTCATTAAGTGATCCAGCTTTTCAAGTTCATCGGGATCCAGTTCCAGTACTGCATCCTCTCCTTCGCTCCCTTGATGTTCATCATCAGTATTCTAAACATAGTAAATTTCTAAATTTTAGTTTGATTTTCTATCAGAAGAATATAAAAAAAAAAAGGATTTCATTTTAAGAGTTAATATAATATCTGGGGAAGGCATGATACTTAAATGTATGGATTTTAAATTCCTTTTGATAGAAAAGTGATAATTTTTCTTGTTGACACCAACATAACAGAACCTGACAAAAACAAAAAATGCTCACAGATCCATTAACCCCTTCAACCCAATAGTGCAATATCTCATTTGTCACAGGAGACGCTCTCACACAGCTACCTATAAGACAAGCTCCACACATCTTATCTTTATAAGCAAATGATGTGTCATAATATGACTTGAATATAACAACTAATGGGTGAATGGAAACATCACAAGGACATCAAAATATGACACATTTTATGACTTAACACATACACACAGCTTTTAAGTTCAAAAAAAAAAAAAAAAAAAAAAAAAAAAAAAAAAAAAAAAAAAAGAAAAAAAAAAAATAAAAAAAAAATACTGCTTGAGACAGGGCTTCATCTGAGACTCTTTTCTGCTTGCCTCCTTTTGATTTTTTAGACTTCTGACTTGCTTTTATGTTGGTCTCATTCCTTTTCCTCTTACCTTTACTTTGGCCACCTGTAAATTAAATAGACTTGATTTCAAGTTTTAAAAAATATTAAAAAATGAGAAACATAAAAAAAGGCTCAAAATTATTTAAATTAACATGGGTTTAGATTTTGATACTCATGCCACCATCGCCACTTGGATTTCTATCTATTCTGTCAAATTTTCTGAAGATTTCTTACATGGTTTGAGTCCTTCATCTCTTATTCAAGTACACAACCTGAGCCAATTTTTCTGAGAGTTGTTTTAGTTTCAATGTTACTATAAATCAACAGTACTTTCTGCTTATGTCTGTTCACAAACAGACAGGAGATTGGCAATTTTTCAAAACTCAATAAGACCTCAGCCTATTACTCAAGACTTCAGCCTATTTTTTAACTGCTTTATTAAAATATCATACCACTCTTTTTCCATTTATTGAGAAGTCGACAAGCCTGGAGAAATAGTTCAGGGTTGTAAATCTGAAATGCAGCACTGCCTGCAAATAAAATGAGGCACATTTTAAATGTTTATTTATTTATTTTTTTTTTGCAAAAACAAAATATCAATTTTATTATTTTTTATGCCCTGTCTTTAAGATAGCAAATTTAACCCTTTAGAAGTCTAGGTGCCAAGAAGACAGAGCCATTTTAAAAGTTTGTCAATCATAATACTCATATTGCATAAAAATATATATAAAAAAACTAATTAATTCACAAATATAAAACTAAATATTATATTCTTGTAGGGAACTGGATGAGCTGATGTGATCTTTATGAATCAAGCTGAAATCTCAACATTTATGCAAATGAGATAGCCTGATTTGCATAATTTTATATACAAAAAAGTCCTAATTCATATTTGAATGTGATGTAGTTTGAAAAACTACACAAAGTATTCCCTTTGGGCTGCTTTTGCCTTTTGACATTTTCAAGGTCAAATTTTTTAAAGCATTTCTAGGGGTCACTAGGTAGAAAATAATTTGACATAAAATGACACAAAACAGTAAAATATCAAGGGAAGTCCCTTCAAAATGGCGAGATGAACAAGAAATGCGAGAAGCAATCTGATCAGCTGGTACGAAGACCAGAAAGACAATATCGAGGCTTGAATTATCAGGCCGATTGATCAGCCATTCATCTATTCGCCATTCCACCCTGGGCCTATATATCAGCCCAGCCGTCCCAAGAGCTTAAATAAATATTAGAAAACTCTTGAGATTATTTGTACCTAACTGAAATAATGAAAAGTTGTTAAAATATGAAATGGCGTCAAGTAATATATTTTATACTTAAATTACTATCAAACCTGGCAAGGCAATAAGCTTCAGATAAACAGATGCAGCAATAACACCAGCAGCTCTCTCTGAAAAGCTACATGAAATCTGAAACAAGAAAAAATTATTTAAAATTATAATTCACCAATAATTAAAAAAAAAAAAATATATATATTTTTAAAAATAATATTTTGAAAAAAATTATTTATATACATTTTAAAGATAAATTATTGTTTAGATGCAACTTATGTGAAGTAACGATAAAGACATAATCTGAAACAAGAAAAAATTATTTAAAATTATAATTCACCAATAATTAAAAAAAAAAAAAATATATATATTTTTAAAAATAATATTTTGAAAAAAATTATTTATATACATTTTAAAGATAAATTATTGTTTAGATGCAACTTATGTGAAGTAACGATAAAGACATGATTTTCCAGATATATTACCATTTTATGTTAACAAGAAATAAAATGCTGACCTTATTGGAATTATGACAGAGGAATGCCAAAATAGCTACCAGAGTTTTGTGGGATATTTCACTTTCAACCAAGATAATCCATAGGCCTGAAAAGTAGAGTTAAATAGTAATATCTTTCTCACTTGACATTATTTAGATATTCATACAATCCTACATTAGATGAAATGTAAGGTTATTTTTAAAAAAATTGAAACGACATTAATAAAAAAAATAACAATAGCATTAACAATAACACTGGTCAACATTGAAATTGTTACTGACTTAAAAGGCCCAGAGCTGTAGTATTTTGATGGGCTGAACACGAATATAATCATACAATTGTTTCAGTGACTTCATTTTAAAGATATTTCATATAATTTATTTTATGTGTTTCACAGTTTAAATGTATATATTAGGACTGCAACAACATCCTAAATCAATGCTGTTTGCAGTCCCACAGTCGACCTGTTCTCCTATTTCTTAAGCATAACGTGATCCAGATTTTCCCTGGGGTACATCATCAACCCCACACAGACTAACACAGTGGTACATCAACCCCACACATACTAACACAGTGGTACATCATCAACCCCACACAGACTAACACAGTAGTACATCCTCAACCCCACACAGACTAACACAGTGGTACAACATCAACCTCACACAGACTAACATAGTGGTACATCATCAACCCCACACAGACTAACACAGTGGTACAACATCAACCTCACACAGACTAACATAGTGGTACATCATCAACCCCACACACACTAACACAGTAGTACATCATCAAAACCACACAGACTAACACAGTGGTACAACATCAACCCCACACAGACTAACACAGTAGTACATCATCAAACCCAGACAAACAAACACTGTAGTACAGCATCAACCCCACACAGACTAACACAGTGGTACATCATCAACCGCACACACACTAACACAGTAGTACATCATCAACACCACACAGACAATCACAGTAGTACAACATCAACCCCACACAGACAAACACAGTGGTACATCATCAACCCCACACAGACAAACACTGTAATACATCATCAACCCCACACAGACAATCACAGTAGTACATCATCACCCCCACACAGACTAACACAGTGGTACATCATCAACACCACACAGACAAACACAGTAGTACATCATCAACCCCACACAGACTAAAACAGAGGTACATCATCAACCGCACACACACTAACACAGTAGTACATCATCAACACCACACAGACAATCAGTAGAAAACATCAACCACACACAGACTAACACAGTGGTACATCATCAACCGCACACACACTAACACAGTAGTACATCATCAACACCACACAGACAATCACAGTGGTACATCATCAACACCACACAGACTTACACAGTGGTACATCAACACCACACAGACTTACACAGTGGTACATCATCAACACCACACAGACTAACACAGTGGTACATCATCAACCCCACACAGACTAACACAGTGGTACATCATCAACACCACACAGACTAACACAGTAGTACATCATCAACACCACACAGACTAAACAGGAAGAACTAAATGACCTGGTTAGTGATTTGGACTTATCCAAGAATAAGACATAATTGCTAGGATCAAGACTCCAATGGAATCTTCAAGAAGAAGATGTCACAATTACTTTATATCGAAAGCGCCACCAGCAGTTGGAGACTGTCTTCAGAAAGGGAAGTATTCTGATATTCTGTTCTGATATTGAGGGCTTCATGAATGCCTTAAAAATAACCCACAAGAATGGAGACTATTTGTAGACTATTCAAAACTGAGTCAAGTCCGTGCTTTTACACAACGGAAATCATCTTCCATCTATTCCAGTAGCGCATGCTGTCCACAGGAAAGAGATATAGATAACTTAAAGTAGCTTCTGAATTCCAATGAGTATAACAAGTACAGCTGGCCCCTTTGTGGTGATTTGAAGGTAGTTGCCCTTTTAATGGGACAGCAACTTGGCTGCAATGTCTCTAAAGATCCCCTTTCTTCATTCCCATCTGGATTTCTCCCCTGAAAACTGTGATATTGTTAGTGATGAACATGGTGAATGTTTTCATCAAGATATTGCACCAATACCAGGGAAAATGGTCCCCTACAATGCTGGCTGACTAATGCTGGACACCCCACAGAGATCCTCCCATACAGTTGTTTAAGAGAGGCAAAGAAATCTAAGAAGTAGTCTATGACTTGAATTTTAAAGGTATTAATCGTAGGCCTATTACTATTAGCATGTATTTCGTGATGTAAACATTAATTTATTGCAGATTACAAAAAAAACAAAAAAAAAAAAAACTAGAGCCAATTTTGCAATTTGACTGTCATATTCGTGTTGAGCAAATAAAAATGTATAAGAAATGACTCATTTTAATTTTATTTCAGTCTTCAGTGACATGACTTCAGTAAAAATTTGTTGCCCAGTATAATATTTTTCTTATTTTTGGGTTCATGTTACAGGAAATCATTTAAGCATAACTGTATTAGCTTCTTGTAATATTTCCACAAGATAAATTAATCATGCACTGTTGTTTTACAATATAATAATCTCAATTATTTTAAATATAATATAGAATCTGGTGAAAAGACTCAGCATGCAAAGATTATATTTGTAAACTAAGTGTAAGTCATAATTTGGATGCATTTTCAACAATGTTCAACATAATTTGTAATTTTAAGCAGAAAGTGACATAGACCTAATAATGAATGGATAGGATGTTGAATGGCTCAATGTCATAGGGATTAAAAGGGAGGCTACAGATAAAACAAAAAAGTAAGGAGGGTGAAGCTTCATGTATAGAAAACAAAATATAGTTTCCTTTCCTTCTTCTGCCTGCTTTTACTATGAAAGGAGTAGCAGGGGAGGTATAGTTGGTGGACTGCCGCAAGGTGTGAGGCTTGCTGGCCGTTCAAGTTGTGGATTTTTATACTGTCCTAAACATAGTCAATCGACAGACGGCAAGGTCTCCTGCCGGCCCTGAAACTAAAGTGTCTGTTATTCTAAGGTTGGTTGACAGGCATTTTGACCAGGTGGCAGAACCAATCATTGGGCCATATCCTGGCTGACTGGAATGGCATCAACTTTTGCTTCATATGCATTATTAAAAATGGAGTCCATATATTTGCAAATTCAGGAGTATGATTATTTATATGATTTTCATTTAATCGATAATCAATGAATTGTGACAAATAACTGACATTAAAAGCAGAGCCGTTGCATGAGTATTGCAGGTCCCCTGCCAATTTTGGTTTTGTGCCCCCCTGCATTCAAAGTTGATAGTTTAATTTTTTTTTCACTTCACAACTTTAGGCCCTTAAAACACCAGAGGCCCCTTACAGCCACAGGGGTCACATAGCCCAAGTGACGGCTCTGCTTAAAAGAAACTAGAAATTCTTTTTCTTTAAAAGGAAAACATGCCGGTCTAATTTAATGTGTATGTAAAGGGAGAGCAAAGGGTCTGTCAATATTATTGAATTCAAATATTTTCAGGATATTAACCACTAAAAAGTTTCATACCTTCTCCATTTTCATTTTCATTGTTGGCTTGCAGCCACAGAGAAAGAATTTCTTGTGCACTGGTCAGCTGTTCTGTCAAGTAGCCATTTTCTTCTAGAAAGTCTCTGTCTGTGTCTGGCAATGTGCTTAAATCAACAAAATCCTCATCCCAGCAAGACTTTACCCACTCTGTAAGTATAAAATGAAAAGAGATAAAAATTAAAAAGACTTACACCCCATGAATTTGGACATGGCTTTGAGATACCAATTAAAGATAAGCGGTAGATCAGTGGTTCTTAACTATTTCCTAATAGGGCCACCCTATACAAAATAATTTATCATTAGACATTAGATTATAAGTGTTAAAATTGAATTTTAATAAAGAATTTGAAAATAAATTATTGGGTCACTGATTTATTGCTGTCACCTGGATTTTGATTTTTTTTTTTTTTTAAATAACACCTCATACCCATGACAAATAATAAATATTCACATTGCATGTCCAAAAAACAAAAAAAGAAGAAAAAAAAGTCACTTAAATAAATGATTGTCGCTTACATAAAATGCTTTAGTTGTAAATAAAAAGTTACCCGTCATTTCCACTTTGATAGACAAAGATGGGGTGGGGGAGCAGAAATTTAGAACACTCTTCAAAGTTACCCAAGCCAAAGTGGGGATTGGGTTTAATAAATTAAAAATGCAAGGGGTTGCACTTTTGCATGCATGTGAATAAAGTTTTGCAACTTTCTACACTTATCGGAATGCTTTTAATGAAAAATTAATTTCTTTACCTTGTAGTTATATAAATCCTTTACTCTTAGTTAGTAGTGACTAAATAGTAAATTTATATTCTAATTTTATTTGAGATAATTTATTTCAAAATTCAATCTTTTTTGTTTAAATTAGTCCAAAAATGGGATGAGTACAAAGAAATGATGCAGTCAGTCACAAAAAGTGATGTATACAATAGTATATATTTATTTAAAATGTGTTTTTGTTTGTTTGTAAATTTGTTATTGATTGATTGATTGTATTTGAGTTAAGGTCAAGGTTTTCATGTTAAAATTACAATTACGTCATTATTACTGAGAGAATCAGTACTGTGGAAGGTAATTGACTGTCCAGTTTCATTTTAGGTGACCAAATTCAAATGTCTGATATGTCAATTACAAAAAAATTTATGGTAAATTTCAAGAGATCGCCTCGGGGTTCCGCCATCTTCGTTGAAAAAACTAGTTAATTCTGTCACTAAGTCTAAACCTAAACTAAATGTATCCCTATGGCTAACCTGAACCCTAAATCGATCCCTCAACCTAAGCTAAACCCTAATTCACTGCAACTATAATAAACAGGCAAATGACGTCACGGGATGATCTCTCGATATTAGCCAAATGTATCTTTCTGAACCAATTCAAGAAAGATGACAGTCGTTCTGCCATTGCTAATTCTTAACTGCAGATGCTGACAATTATCTGTGTTGACTTGGTACTGTTTTATTTGTGTTTTAAAATGGACTTAATTATTAATGAATGGATAATTAATTGTCATTTTTTTATTTTGATTTCTTAGGAGCCTAATAAAGGCTGGCACTACGTACACCGCGGCAGTGTACCTAGCGAAACTATTGACTTTGGCCTGCGTACACCGCAGCGGTGTACCTAGCTAAATCATGGTCTGTGGCCTGTGTACACTGCAGCGATTTTAAGTAGCAAAACTATGGTCTTTGCGAGTCTTTAACTTTTTGGCCTAACCGGTACTTGTAGATTTAATGTTATACTCGTGTTAAAACTGAAAACTATTTATTTCAAATTCGTTTAGCACCTTGAGAAGATATTGAGTAAGTTCCACGCTTTGGGGCAAAGTACTTTTAAAGCATTTCAGCCATTTCTTCTTATTTTTTGGAAGGGAGGGGGCTGGGGGTGTAATGTTAAAAGTAAAACAATGATTTATTTTTAAAATTAACCACTTTATCCCCCCCCCAATATATTGAAATACAAATATATTTATTAATTGTTGTAGGTTTTATCATATGATCGTGAATCTTAATAGGCATAAAAAGTGTAGCTAATTTGAAATTATTCTCTCCCCCCCACCCAGTTGTTTTTTTTTTTTTGGGGGGGGGGGGGTGTTATAAATATAACATTGTATGTGATCCCTCCGGTCGTGGTGTAAAAATGAATGGGAAGCCAGTGAATCTATTTTGTTGGCATCAAGATATAATTACGCCACAAATACATTACGGGAAGAGAATCATACATTGCTCATGAAGTCATGAAGTTAAAGTTGTCCAAGGCATTGTCATTGTGATACCAAGCGTGTGTCAACACAAAACAATAGTATGATGATGTATACGAAACACTGCAGTGATTTATAAAAGTCTTTTAACAATAATTAAATATCATTGATTTTGTTTTACATTGGCATTATACATTAGTAAAAAATGCCGGCCGGGGGGGGGGGGGGGGGGAAAANAGCCGTGATTTGTGAATGCCCCCTTTTTGGTTAAGCCTCTGCCCATAACTCACTTCCACCCCCCCCCCCCGGCAAGGATTGATTTCTTAACAAAAACCAACAAATAAAAAAAACTTTGACATAGCGCAAATCCTGTCCCAAGCCCATTGTGCAATGGTTTCTGTGAGAAAACGTCGTGTTTTACCCTGAGAATAGCACATGCCATGTCATTCTGGAAACAAATTCCTTCATGAAAAGGGTAAACGCAGACCTATGCCTACGGCTTTGCTATACAGTTTGCTACCGCACCGTAAGTTTCTAAAATCGAGGTATTTTCAAAAGATTTGCTGTGAGACTGAGTGTTGTGAAGGAACCTTTGATATCGTGTGTACATTTTGCCAATGCATAAGGCATAGTGAAAGCAAGCTGGTTCAAGGTTGAAATACGATCATGCACAATAATGACATTAATATTCATAGTCATATGATATTATGATATACTGGTATTTTCTTTGGGTGTTCGTAAAAGTAAAATGTAAATATTCAACTACATGAAGAATGTTGAAATATATATATATAAGTGTATTAATTTAATATAATATTTAAACATATATTTAAATTGTTTAAATTGCTACAAAATATATTAAAACTAAAATGGGAGGAAAAAAAACTCGATCCCCTACTGGGAATAGATCTCAAAATATATTATCGCCAAGCGTCCACTCTGACTCTACCACTTGACCACGCAAGATCTTCTCTAACGAGCATATCTTAAAACAAGGCCAATTGTACATTTTTGCCGCGGTGTACCCAGGCCAAAGCCCACGATTTCGCTAGATACACCGCCGCGGTTTACGCAGGCCAAAGCTGATGGTTTCGCTAGGTACACCGCCGCGGTGTACGCATCAACTTCGAATAATAAAATGAAATTGAATGTTATTAAGAATTTGGCTAAGCACCTAAACTGGAAGGTCCAAAATTGGCTGTGGCATTTGTCAGAGATAATTAAATTACAGGAGAGCATGGAGGATGAGAATGGCAGGTGCAGTCAATTGATATATTGATGGAATAAATAATGTAAAAAAAGTTGAGGACAGGGTCAGGAGTCACCTGCCTGAGTGCTGTGGAAGAACTGTGGGCAATCCCAAAACTCTTTAAATTTAATTAAATCTTCGTTCCAGTATATATTTTCATTTATTTCAATTTTTAACTTCTGATACAACATGTTAATGTGATTAAATGTACATGAATAAATCATGTCACCTTTGGAAAAATAGTTTAGTTGAAGACTCTCGAACACGGCAGCTGTTTTGTTTGCATCCGCCATGTTTATATTTGGCGCCAACTATTTAAAAAGATGGACCAAAAAAGTAATAAAGTTGCTGAAATATGAAAGACAAAAACTTAATATATTATATCTTACATTTTATAGTTACTACTTCTGATGAACCTTATGATTAACTTTAAATGCAGCAATTTTATGCATATAGGCCTACTATAGTAGTATAATAGTTAAATATAATTTAATTGAGTTTATTTTACGCAGTCCCCTTGTTTTGAATTTGAAATGGAATGACATGTTATACAAAAGCCTAAATAATAATTAAAGTAAAAGCCAATCAGAAGGATCGTTGTTTTGTACGTTCACCTTAAACTTATTTAGCGTTTCGTTTCAGCGCTATAACTCACTCGACGCACCCAGGCAACACTGGGGGGTGGGGTAGATGACCATTGATATTACTAAACTATTTCTAGTAATCTTGTAAAAATACTTCTACTATTTTTTTTCCCAATGACAACTTTGGGCCCAACTAATATCAGAGGATCCCCCCCCCCCCAACCCCCCCCCGTTTTAATTTTTTTTTTTTTTTACAGCTAAGGGCTCTTGGTAGGCCAATGGTTGAAGAAGATGATAAGTGTTATCAGGAGTTTAAATTGAGCATAACAGAGGGTCGAACAAATCTTTACCCCTCTATGCTGGGGCTTCAAAATTTCCAAAGATTTTAGTCAATAAGGAATCTTTTGGACCACCCCCAAGTAATTACGATTGTATAATTATTGTAATATTCTTTTTTTTCGTAGCGAGTTATAGCCGCCTAGTCGATCCAAAAAGCTTTCGACCCAAATCGCCCGATTGGTCAATCCGCCCCTGCTTGTGCCTTTCGGCCAGGGTTGCCTACCGCCAGTAAATTTACGGGCAGTCCGTAAATTTTTTAAATCTAAAATGATTGTCTGTAAATGTCGGCAAAAATTAAAGATTTCGGTAAAAAAAAATAAAACATTGAAAAAAATCGTATGAAGCGAAATATTTCTCAATGCTGTGATTTCTTCTTACTTGAAACTTGTATGATCATAATAAGTTATTTTATATATATTTTTATAAATATTATATATATATAACTTGAATATAAATAAAAGAAATATATTATGCATTATCATTTTTACAAAAGATATTTATATTACATCTATGAAATCACAAAGCAGAATACATTTATAATAATAATTATTATTTAAATTAATATTAAAAATACACAATTCCTTCGTTTTTTAATAATTATTAAAACAATGATTTTGATAGCTATTTTTATTTATTATCTGCCTAATCCTAAAAAAAAATGTTATCGTTACGTATTCCCACTGGCTTTCGGGAATTTAAATTATTTGCCCTCTCATCAGAAAATATTACAGTTCTTATTTTATCTTATGTATTTCAGAATAAAGAAAATATTTAATAATATTATAGTACTGAAGACACATCAATAACTGAAAATAACATCGTAAAATCAAACAAGCAAAAAAAAAAAAAAAAAAAAAAAAAAAAAAAAAAAAAAAAAAATAAAGAAAATATTTAATAATATTATAGTACTGAAAACACATCAATAACTAAAAATAAAATCGTAAAATCAAACAAGCAAAAAAAAAAAAAAACAAACAAACAAAAAACATATACATTTTTCAAGATCGATGTGTTAAAGAGTGACGGTTTTTATGGTAATAGAATTTTTGGTCATAATGTTATGAAAACCTAATTTCATACCATTTTGGCGTGTATACATTTTAATAAATCTGAATTTGGTTGTGTGTTGTTTTCGCAACAGCTGGCTGGTGGAGCACACAGACTGTGGTCGAGCATAATATATATTTAAAAAAAAATGGATATTAATTTAAACTCTTTCATTAAATCATAAAAACAAGGTATTGCTATTGTATTTATCATTTATACAAGATTTGGATACGCCTAGTTAATTTTAGGTATGATTGATATCAATATCAATCAAAATAATTAGCCCAGTATCAGTAAGCCTTATCACACTCATAACTCACAATACATCTCATAAACGGAATCAATTCAAGGCATTCAAGGGATTTCTGCATTTTCAATTTCCACTGAGTTCTGACTGAGATTGTGAGTTTAGATTTAGACTTAGAAAGTTATTGAAGAATTATACTTAATAATAAAAGACAGAGGCCCCCTATATATCAATAATTTTATAATGAATAATATGAAAGTCTACATAACTAATTATATTAATTTAATTAGAGCAGGGGTGGCCAACCTTTTCAGTAGACTCAGTAGATGGGCCAAATTCAGAAATAAATTTCCTGCCCGGCCACACACCTAATTTTTTTTTTGTTAGTTAAAGTAAACAAGCAAGCGTGCTACAGCTTCGATGTCGCATACCAGTAGGCTAGTACTAGTAGGTGAGATCCTGGTCAAACGCTTGCCTGTTTTAATGTAAAAAAAACAACAAGAAATAGGTATACCCGGTATTTATTAATTTTGTTTTAAAGATAATAAAACATAACTGAGAATCAAACATTCATTACACAATTGAAAAATATTTAAAAGTGAGACATCTAACTTTGTTTTGCAGAGCTAAGTGCATCAAAATTGCTCCTGACTGATGTATTCGCTACACGCAATCAGTTTTCCAAATGAACATCAGTAATTCGTGTTCTCACTTATGATTTGATGTGCTTCATATGACTAAAAAGCTATTCACTTGCATAAGTGTTTCAAAATAGCGAAACCATAGACAGAGCATGTTTGTAAAACGCAGGATACTTATCCTTGTCCAAATACGTTTTGTAGAACTCTTCCAAATACGTTTTGTAGAACTCTTCCAAAACATCTTGATAGAATTTCTACTTTAACTATGTATCACAATACATTTCACAATGGTCCATGTGTAATCTTCCTGGTAATAAATTAACGCCTACTGTGAATGGTGTTGCTAATGCACAAAAAAGCAAAGGATTTTTTTTAAAATCCTGAAACTGGTATTCAAATTCGTGGTTTATCTCAGATATCAAATAAGCGTATTTATCTTCAGCCTCCTGTGTGACATCTGGTTGCAATGACACTGTAGGAAAGTGAGTAAAGTTTTTTGTCCTCAACTGTTGTTCTCAAAGACTATGTTTCATTTGAAATGCAGATATATGATCATAAATCTTATTTATTAAATTGATTTTTCCCTCGTTGACAGGTATTAACATCATTTAGGTGCCCATTTTTATGGACCAGAAGTACAAAGTCGCAAACCCACTCTTTACATATTGATTTTTGCTTGCAAAGAATGATTTTATTTATTGCTGTAAATCAAACACTCTTTTCAACATTTTGGCACCGGTTAACCATTTTACTTATGCATAAAATTTAACATCATTATAATCTGAGTTCAAAGACTTTAGAAATTCTTGGAACTGATGGTGGTTTGACTTAATGGAGATCACTATTTTGACAACCACTTTTATGACATGGTCCATTTTAAGAGACTTTGAACATAAATTCTTCTTATGAATAATGCAATGAAAATTTAGCATTGAAGTATTACTGAATTTGGGGACATCATTTTCAATCAATTTTACTAAACCTTTGTGTTTCCTAACTTTTGCTGGAGCACCATATGTTGTTAAGCCCGATAAGTTAAATTGTAACAAAAAGTGATTCAATGTTGATGTAACTGCGCTTAACAAATCTCGTGACTTGGTAGTGTCCATAAGTTGAGACATTGCCGCTAATTCTTCTGTCTTTTTTAAAATGGACATCAACAACCCTGATAAAAATTGCCAGTTGGACAGTATGTGCCATATCTCTGCTTTCATCCAATGCTAGAGCATGAAATATAAACTTGGATGCTCAACTTTTCAAATAATCTTCAAAGTTTTCCAATGTCATCAAGACGCCTAGTAATAGTCTGACGAGACAGACTTATTTTTTAAGAAATCCTTCTTTTCTGGACACAGAATTTCATTGACACTCTCCAAATATTCCTTAACCATTTCACCATCTAAATATGGCTTCCATTTTTTTACTAGTATCATGGCTACTGCATAACTAGCTTTTACATAGTATGTTGACTCTGAACTTGCTCTAGTAAATAGCTTTTGTTGTGCAGAATTTTTTTAAAAAAGTCATTTACTTGGTCTTATCAAAATTGCCCTTTGTACTTCTTTTGTACTTATCAAACTTATTTGCATGGTTAGTCTGTTAGTGCCGTTTGATGTTATACTCTTTCAAAACAAAAACAGATTCGTTGCATATAAAACATATGGGCTTCGTTTTAATTTCATGAAAATTTATTGTCCCCCTGCCTTGAAAACTTCTTAATTCTTCTGTTATCCTTCTCTTCTTTGGTCCAATAAATATGTATTTTAGCGTTGATTGCAAAATCTCTCCAGACACAGTGACGATAATGGAACGAAAATACAGAATAACACAGAACTTTGTCAAGCTGGACTGAAATTAGTTATGAGTATGAGCGTTGTGAGCTTGCCGAAGACCACAGAACACATATATCAGAAGTTGAAGTCTCATATTAAATTTTTTCAACACTTAGTGTTGGAAAAAAAAATACAACTTTGAGTGTCAAATAGCGGGATATTTGAAATAGCTAAAATCTATGAATTTTCTAGAAAATGCGGGATGTTCAAATAGCTCAAAACCAATTAATTTTTTCCCAAAAATGCTAGACATTTCAAATTTCTCCTAGCTATTATTTTAAAATATATGATATGAACGACTCATGACGTAATGTTCTTTTGGTGATATGTACAATAAAGTATAACATTTATGTTCATTTGACCTAGCTCCACGGACCGCAGCACGACTCCTCATGTTGGCCACCCCTGAATTAGAGTCTATTTTAGCGATAAATTAGCAATGATAATAAAAACGATTTTCATTTTACCTAGGCCTAATTGATACTTGAATTACTTGGTGAGTCTTAGTTGACCTATGCCCTATTGACTATTATTAAGGTTACCTGACACAATGAAAAATTCCTACAACTCCTGCGACCCTTCTGGTGCCAAGCTGTTTCATCCACATATTATGATTTTCCCTTACATTATCTGTAAGGTGATTAGCTGTCTAGTGAACCAGCTTATACTCCTAAGCCTTGTGATTTCATCCTTCAAAGTCTACACCATAGTCACATCGTGACAGACATATGCCAGAAAAAAAACCCACTTGGAGGTTATCACTTAAATAATTTATCCACTTCTGTCAGCTTTGTCTCCTCTTCATTAAAAAATACCTGGTGAATCTAGTACTATTGTACTACTTGGGTGCTGGATGGTCGAGTGGTCTAAACTGAGTCAATCGCAAGCATGTGGTCTGGAGTTCAAGTGCAAACCAAAGACCAACTCAAGAAAAAACATCACCAGCATCCCAGGTGGATGTGACCCATTAACCTCAGATGGCAACACATCTAAGAGAAGGAAACTCTGAATAAAAAACCTGGTGATGGAGTCCCGAAGGTGGATACATTGATACAATGAAAATTCTGAGAACTACTGTGGCACTACTGGTGCCAAGCTGTATCATCCATAAATGGTGTCCCTTGGGTTATCCTGGTGCATGGAGAGAGCCGATTTGCTTTCTAGAGAACCAGTTTCAAGAAAAAATCCCAGACCTTGGGATTTCGCCCTGGGAAGTCTACACCTTCATCTTGTTGTGACGGACAGATGCAAGACTCTACTACTAATAACTAGTTACTAGTAGTATCAATAGTAATAGTAAAAAGCCAGCTCTACCAAATAGGCCTAGGAACTCAAAAAAGTCTTTAAAAAGAAAAGCATTTTCTAAAGTATTCACAAAGGTAAGGGTCAGTCAAGTTCTGGGGGAAAAAAGTTATGGAACTCACCCAAGGCGAAGGTCCCCCCCCCCCCCCCCCCCCTTTTTTCCACCAACCCCCCCTATCCTACTCCCGAAATAAAAATGTATTTATTTCTTAGCATAAAAAAGGAATAATGCTGTCACCTGTTATATGGCCAGTCCTACTCATAGGAAACTTATTACGATTACTGTTAGTAATATTAGTGCAGTGCTGATTCTAGCTGCCTGATGTTTTCCAGATAAATCGAATCATTTATCAAATCTGGTAGCATGTGGTGGTAGCACATGTGTGTTCATGAAAATTTTGTGTAGCAACTTGTCCATGAAATATTTTAGTTTCTAATGACTCATCCTGTGCCTGTACTTATCTCATGTATGCAGTCTTGATGAAAAAACTACTAGCTGCACACAGTTCATTTATTGTCTATAATAGTTCAAATCACATAAGACCAAATTTGAATGTGTCTTATTTATTTCGGTTGATGGTTGTTAATAGACCAGATGTTTTATTTAAAATGATTTTTTTCTTCTAAATACTGATAAACCTTGGATTGCAAAGATAATTCATTCTAGAAATGTGTTCATAATCTAAAACACTCAAGATCAAAGTGAATTTCCTCGTAAGAAATTCTAATAATATAAATGAAGAATGAGTGTATCTTGGAACAGTTTGCTGGTAATGATGATAATAAGGTGGCATCTACTAAGACAAAGTTGTATTTAATTTTACAGGTCTGTCTATATTCTTAAGGATTTGAAGGTAGTTCAAAATGGCAACGGAACAAGTAAACCATGGGACCACAAGAAAAGAAATTAATATATCAGGACCAGTAGACCTTGACCAAGACTTGGACTACGATAGTTTTGATGAGGGCAGCGGTGAGAGACCTGCAGAGAGATGGGCTCCGCTTGGTGCCGCTGTTAGTCCGTCTACATCTCCTTATGAGCCGAGGTAAGTAAATAATTTTCTAAGAAATTTGATACCTTAAATTGATTTTTAAAAGGTTTAAAAACTTAACTTTAATGATCAATGTGGATTAAAAAGTATGAGAACAAATTTTATTTGGTAATTGTACTATTCTACTCTGACACATATGGGCAATGACAATGTGAAGTTTATTATTATTGTTCATCTTTGGCACGCAAAGATGGCCAATGAAATATTTGGCTTGAGTAGTAGGTTTGACTTGAGCTCGCTTGCTTTTTTAAAAGTGAGGGTGAGTTTCTCAATTTGTCCTGCCTCACTCTCTTGTCCTTGTCTGTTTGATCCAATTGTGTGACTTAGACAAGACGACAGAACGAAGACGAGAATGCAGTAGATGACCAGCAGTGATTTTTGTGTTTCACTGTGCTCTTTATGCATTCCATGTCACAGGAGTTATCAGAATGTTCATTGTGTCAATGTATACCACCTAGGGGACTCCATCACAGGGTTTGATTTCAGAGTTTGTCCACTCTTAGATGAGTTGCCAATCCAAGGTTAACAGGTCTCATCCACCTGGGGTGCTGGTGTCGTTTTTGGTTGTCTAGGGTTTGGTTGGGGATTGAGGTCCAGTCCACAAACTTGGGATGACTTAGGTTAAACTGCTAAACCACCCAGCACCCGCTGTCAATAACTTGCACTGTCAAGTAAAATGAAACAGAATGTAACAATTGAATTTAAATTTAAGAACCATTTGATTTGTATGTACTATTTTACTTGTACACAATTAAATTAATATTACCGGAATCGTAAATCGTACTCTTTCATAGTAATGATAAATACAACACACCAGTGTCATCTTAATTCTTGATTCCATTTGCATCAATGCATTCATAAATAACTTCAAAATAAAATAAGCATCATTGTCTATGACTTTTCAGACACACATATGAGAGCGATGAGCTAGAGAGATTAGAAGAGGAACAAGAACAGCTCAACTCTTCTCTCCTAGCACTTACCACACACTTTGCCCAAGTTCAGTTCAGGCTTAAGCAAATTGTCAGTGCTAAGCCCGAGGACAAGGAGGTTTGCTAAATATTCAGTTTTTCTCTTAACATTGTTTTTCATGTTTTATTTTATTATATACAATTATTTATTTCTTGTGCTTTAATGTTTGCACTCATGTTTTATTTTGGGAAAAGAAAATCTTGTAAATCTACCTTGTGCTTTTAAAACATGAAGTTTGAACTGACAATTTTTAAAATAATCTTTTAGAATTACTTACTGTATATACTTGCATACAAGTCGTGCCAGTGGATAGGTGGCATCCTTAGTTTGGGTTCATCTAAATGGATTTTTGCGGTTGACTAACAGATAGGTACCACCCATAGTTTAAAGAGTTACATACTCTTTATATTGGTGTGCTGTTGAACTTGGCGTTACATGGTGACAATAGCTTATTCTTAGAAATATTATTTGTACAGGATGTGATTAACAGTTCATTTACACTATAACTCAGTAACTATTAATAACTGTTAACTGTTACTAATTATAATGCAATTTATGCCCAGGTCACAGCTAACAGGCAAAACTATAGAACTTTTACTAGATGATCTAAATAATATTGTTTTTGCTTGGCTTTTCATGACAGACCTTACTGAAAGAACTAGAGGAGTTTGCTTTTAAAGGTATTCCAGATGTCAGAGGCTGCAAAGTTCAGGATGCACAAATTTTGGAAGAAGTGGTAAGCTGTATTTACCATTTAATGATCAGAATGTTAACAATTAGTAATGACCATTTTGCCTTATTAAAGATGTTTGGTAAATGTCTCCTTTTTATTTCCTTGTTAATTTTTTATGATAAAAGAGTGACTTATTTGAAGCAATCTTTTTGAAAAAAATTTTTTTAAAAATCTTCTAATATATATATTTTAAAATGTTGTTTTTATGTCTGTTAATCTTTTTCATATCTTGTCATTATATTCTAATATGTTTTACAAAACTGAATCTTTAATGTATAGGCCTATATCTTTGGGGACAATACCAAATTATGTTAAGATTGTCAGTTTTAGGCTGCAATTTTACTTAATTAATGCTTTATGTGTCTATATTCTAGGTATAGTTAGTTCCCTGGTTGGTGTGATCCATATAGACCTAAAATAGAACGTTTGTCAGACAAAAAGCATGAGGCTCCTGTTAAATAAATTATGGCCTGGGATAGTTGGTTAAACATCATCTTGATAAAAACAAATTACCTAGCTACATAACAATATGATATATCCTAAAAAATATGGGTACTTAAATCATATAATCATTTTCATTACTAAAGAAATGCAACTTCACTCTTTGTTAAATGATGTACACTCTCCATAAACTCTATTACTGTTTTTATGAATCCATTTTTTATAAACCCCCCCCCCCCTCCATTTTTAAACCCCAAAAATGTGATAGTTAAAAAAAAAAAAACATAAAACTTTCCACGTATATTTAAAAAAAATTGTTTTAACTTTATAGTTTAAAAAAAAAAAATCCTTTTCCTGTGTTTATTTCATGTATTTTTCAAGGAATTTATTATTTGGTACTCATAAGTTTCTTCCTAGGTAGGTTTGAGTTTAGCTATATTTTTTTTTCTTTCCCAAGAGTGAACGTGAACATGAGCAAAAGATTAGTGAACAGAGAGAAAAGCAAAGACAGCTGATTCAGCAGCTAAAATCTCAGTTAGAAGATCTGGAAACTTATGCTTACGAGGTCAGTTTTTTAAAACTATTTAAACACTTCCCTTAAGCTTTTTAAAGTAATTAATTATGTACCTTTAATAAAGAAGCATTGCAACTGTAATATTTCCTTCATTACAGGTTATTAGAGTGTTAGCCAGTGTCTTTGAGATTTTTGTAAATATCACATACGGGGACCAGACATCCTGGTTAACATGGTTAATCACGGCGTCCCTTCAGGAAATTTCCAGACCTATGGTGTTTTCTGAATAACTGTGTAAATTATTCCCTAGACATGGTTTAATGCTCCAGCTGTAAGAGTCTTTTCTCTGATTAAAACAACATGTGAACACCAGATAAATCAAAACTGAAAGTCGATACATTGAAACATATCCTGGTTGTCAAAGTCGATACATTGAACCATATGCTGGTTGTCAAAGTCCATACATTGAAACATATGCTGGTTGTCAAAGTCCATACATTGAAACATATGCTGGTTGTCAAAGTCCATACATTGAAACATATGCTGGTTGTCAAAGTCCATAAATTGAAACATATGCTGGTTGTCAAAGTCCATACATTGAAACAAATGCTGGTTGTCAAAGTCCATACATTGAAACACATGCTGGTTGTCAAATGCAATTTCAGTGATTCATGTGACAATTTTTATATGTTTTTAAAAAAATGTCATGAGAGCTACTCACTCATCTCAGAAATATTAGTGTGTCATGATTATGCAATTAATAATTACAATTCACTGGTTGGTGCTTCATATTTCTGACATACGTCAGTTGTGTCAATTTCTTTTTATTTTTTAACAACATGTCAATTGTTATTAATTAGTTACTCGCTGGCAAGATGTTTTTCCTTTTATGAACATTTAAAAACTGACATGTTCAATCTCAGACTCAGAAAGTATTAATGAATTCCCCACAAAAAATTTCTGGTCTTTTTCTAATTTATTGTTCACAAATATTTAACCTGCAATTCCTTATTAACACAACGTAAGGTTTTGCAGGTCAACAACATAGTATACGATATGCTATGTAATTTACATTAATGAAGTTTGTTATTTGCGCTTCAGGAAATCGTGTCCTTCAGTCAATTTTCAACAAACCATTTTTGGCTAATGCTAGTTTTGAACGATCTACTAGTACTAAAGATCTTGTTTTTGGATGTTTTTGTCTGTTTTGCAAACGTACCCAGTTTATTAACCTACACATGTACCACCACAGACTGGAGATGCTGACAGTCTGCCCACAAGTCAAGTAATGGAGAAGCAGAAAGTGGTGCTGGAGGAGTTGAAACACAAGCTTGACTTAAACTTGGAGAATTTTGACAGCCTCAGGTGAGGAAATTTGATATTGAGGATATTACAAATTGAGTAAATTACATATTGAGATAATTACATATTAAGGAAATTACATGTCATCATCATCCAGAAACTTCTTTCATTTGAATATAAGAACTTTAAATATCAAGTGTTCTCATGTAGTTTTGAAAGTGACTATTTTCTCTTATATTCTTTTAAAATTTTCAATTAAACACCAGAAGAATCAACCAAGGATGAATAACACAGTCATCAGGTTTTTGTTTTTGATGTAATTAAAAAAAAAAATTTGATGTTAAAAATTGTATGCTCTTTTGATTAAAAAAATTAAAAAATTCCAAAGTTCTCTAAATGGTAGATAGCTAAGGTTTAATTTTTATGAGGTGTGATCACTTCAAAAAATTTGTAACATGTATTTGTTTAGCACAGAGGAGCTAAGACAAATTGTTGACCATGCAGTTGGCCAAATCGTCAATCCAGCTAAAGTGAAAGAGAAACTGGTGGAGCAGCTGAAAACTCAAATTGTTGACCTTGAAAGATTCATTCAGTTTTTACAAGGTATGAATCAAATGTGCATGAATCTGACACCACCCCCCCCCCCCAACCAAAAAAAAAATACTGATTCTAATTTATCAAATTTACTGTTTTAAAACCCAATTTTTGTGTGATAAAGAAAACCATTCAGACTCTGTTGCCCAGTTTTCAGGCTAACTTAGTGATTTATGTGTCCCAAAAACATCCCCCTCAAAGATATGACTAGTGATTGCTGATGATAAGATTTGTTTTTTGTGCTGTTCTTCCCTGTCTTGATTGCTATTAAAAAAAAATGAATCTTACAAAATTTCAGGGGAAGCCACAAGTCCAGGTCCCTTAGGAAAAGAGCGTTGTTTATGTCCCTTACATGAAGATGGTCAGGTAAAGTAAACTAGAAAAGTGTATTAACTAAGACTTGCCAGGCCTATTTGGAAGATTATGAAGCGAACAAAAATGATACCTTCAGTTTTGTGTGTGGAAATAATGGAATTATTTAGACGCTGAAGTAAAAAAAAAATTCACTTTGTCCAAATACTGTAATGCAGCATGTGTCACACCATTTTGTTTAAATGTTATTTTGTTCTATTTGATTATTCACTTCAGTCTACAGCCCCCCACTCTCACACTGGCCAAAAGGCCTTGGGGCCCACAGCTCATCCTAAACAAAAAAATCAGTTCAACTTTAGTTCGAATGACAAAAGACATGAGCACAACAACTCGAAGGTAACAAACTTTTTCATTATTTTTAAACTTAAGTTAATTATAAACATCCTTTTTTTTTTTAAATCTGAAATGTTAAGTTTTAACTCTTGGACTGTTTGTAAAGTTACACTTATAAAAACTCAAAATTATTGTAATTAAATAATAAATTAATCCCCTAAAGTGCATTTATTGCTGTAAATGAATTTTATCAAATTACATGAAGTGAATTGATGAGTGATAAGTACAATTACACAATTTATGATATCTTTTTAAAAAAGCAATATCGACATTAAGAATGTGTTGTTTATTTTAACATTAATTGATTTCAAATTCTTGCAAGTGTTGAGATGACACTCTAAGACAGATTCTCCTTTTGTTTTGTTGATATCCCAGCACATAAATGAGTCTGCCAACAGCATAATGAAGAAAGCCCTCACCATACTTCAGATCTACGTCATAAGTCAGCTGGGTTGCGGTAGCAGAGAATTCAAACGGAACCTTCTCAAGAAAACAGCTAGAGGCAACCACTGGGGGTAAGGTGATTTAGCCTTCACTGTAGATTTTATATTCCATTGATCAGAATTTGCCTATCATTGTTTATAACGATGGCAGCGAACTGCTCTTACCCAGTTAGTTCATTGTTGATTGCAACTATTCAGTATTTCTACTGGTGGGAGTAACAAAGGAAGTAAGAATGAGGGTAATAGTGGGAGTAACAAAGGGAGTAATGATGACAGTAATAGTGGGAGTAACAAAAGGGGTGAAGATGGGAGAATTAGTTTATTCCAGTAAATAGTTTTGTGTGTGTTACTATATGAAAAATAAGGATCAGTAGTGACAGATTTATTGACTGCAAATCAGAGTTGTGCTGCTCCTACTAGTGGGATAGTTATAATGTATTACTTAATCAAACTAGGACACTGACATGGCAAAACTTCACAGAGTTTTGAATTGGACAATGCTTCAGTGATGAATGGATTACAAAGGCATGGCTTTGTCTTGTAAATCCAGCAACTTATGTCATTGGTATGTGAGCATATCAGCATATGAAAGGTGGAAAATTTTTTTTCTTATTTTATGGATATTCCCCCCCCCCCCCCTTCTTAAATTGGATCATCCCTAATAGGTTGGATCCTGATATGTTGGTTCCTGATACGATGGATTCTGATATGTTGGTTCCTGATATGTTGGTTCCTGATACAGTGGATTCTGATATGTTGGTTCCTGATATGTTGGTTCCTGATACAGTGGATTCTGATATGTTGGTTCCTGATAGGTCGATGACTGATAGTTTCATTCCTGATAGTTTGGTTTTGGGGTAGGCATCTGTGAGACAAGTACCAGCATGTGTTTTCCTTTTGGTTTGAACCTGGCCTTAAACATACTTTGATACTTGCATCTATTCAGAGACTTGAGGGCCAAGCTAGAAATGGCTATAACAAAATGTATAGAGCTGGCTGAACAACAAAAAGCTGAGGCAAAGCAGGACACAGACAGTGAGGACTATTCCTCTGATTCAGATGAGGTGACACTTTAAAAAAACAAAAAACAAACTCTTTGATATTTATTGGAAAAGTTTTCATTTAAGACATCATCATTTGAAGAATTTCTTTTAGATATTAGCATTGAAAAATTTCTTTAAGACATTATCATTTGAACATTTTTTCATTAAAACAGCATTAACAAACAATATCTTAAGAAAATTACTGATAGGAACTCACACAAAGCCTAATGGCACATTAAGAGATTCTTGCATAAAACATATTTTCAGTACAATGAGCCTCTGCTTGATAAATATTAATCGCAAATCAAACTCATATGTCCCTGAATCAAATTCCTTATTATCCAATCATTCCTTATACATAGCTTTAATGCTCTTTGTCACCCTCTCTATTCCTGGCATCAACATCATTCATATTTTTAAAATATTTTAAAAGAAATAGTCAAGGACGTAATAAAGTATTCAGTAAATGGATAAATGATTAAACTTTTCCACCATAACAATCAGGTAACTAAATTTAAGCTTAAAGAAAGAACCAAAATGAAAATGTTTATTATTTCTTCCAATGAGAAATCTGTGGGAGCAAAGAATTAAAACTGTGGAGCTAAATCAATGTTTGTAAATGTTTTAACATTAAACTCTTCCCTTAGAATGTCAACCAGTCCAGCCCTGCGTTGACCCAGTGTGTCCGTAAAGATCTAGCCATGGCCATTCGGGATCTAATGCAGCACGGTTTGATGGAGATGGGTCCGTCCGGTAGTCTTGTTCCATTTGGATGTTTCCCCAGCCGATCGGCACAGATGACCCGCATGCTTCATGCCTGGGACTTGTTCCTGAAATTTTATGAGATGAAGGTTGGCTGGTTAAAAAAAAATCACCTTGTTACAAAAATAAATATATTTAAGATAACTGGGACTGTGTGTATTGTAAAGGATGCTTTAGTTTGTTTTTTTTTAAATTAAGAAATTTAGTGAGGCTCATCAGATATCTCATACCTAAGTCTGACAGCACTGCGTTTATTCATTTCTAACCAGAAATGCCTTTGCTTTCATTCCCAGCATGGCCGTGAGTACAACGAGTCCCCCGCCAGGAAGCTCTCTCAATCGTTCCACCTTGACATGATTGGGGGCAAACCAATCACTGCGAAACAGACCTTCCTTGGGGCTATTGACACAGTCATCAATTCGCACACTCCCCTCAAGCGTAGTGAAGATGCCCACTTCAAGGCTTTTATATGTATGGCTCTCAAGTGAGTGTTTCTCTGTTGTAAAGCTATGCCCTAAGATTGGATTTTATGTTAATAGTTATAGAACTTTATTGTGAACTAGAATTTTTACCATAACATTTGTTTAAATTAAATCTAAGAAGAAAAAATTTCTCATCCGGAGCTGGATTTATTAAATGTTATAATAATAAATGTTATGGTAACTGAAACCAAACTAATTAAAAATCTTTAGATATTCAATTCTTAGTTTTGATCTTTTTATATGTTTGACCAATCTAACCTTTTCTAGTGAGCGTAAATTGGTCACATGGTTACGGCTCCTATTTAGAACTCAGAGTCTAATAGACACCTATTATCAAGACTGGAGCTATGTAGCTAGAACAGGTGAGAGTGCTTTTAAACATTGTTTGAATTTAATCAGAAAGTATTTTAGTCTGAACAAATCCGATGCAGATCACTTTTTTTTGGTACAAAATACACAACACAAAAATTTTGGAAATATTGAAAAGATGATGGCTTCATAAGGTATTGATCAAACCATTTCAGCTGGCATGTGAACTTTCTATTGTCTGTCCCTGCTGTATATTAGAATTGAGTGCCTTATTTTGTTTAATTAATTGCATTTAATTTGTCTTACATTAAATTTATCTTATGTTAAATTTATCTTTTATTTGTGAGAGTACTGTAGTATCTCTTTGAAGAACAAAAATCAATTTATTTAAAATTTATTTTGTTAATATTTATAAAGAAAAGCCACAATAAAATCATGAAGTGTGTTCTCTGGGAGGCTACCTGCAGGCATTATAACTTTAAAAAATTTTTTTATACACAACTCCATAATTCAGGATTTGAAGATGCATTACGATCACTTGAACGTCTGCTGGTCATCAACTTCAACCTGCCTGTGGACCTTGCAGTCAGGACCTTCAGTAACATCAAGGATGCCTTCTGATAGCAACAGATCAGACCAAACAGTGACAGCATTCATTCATCAGGAGATTTTAGGCTGGGGGGCATGTAAATTGTGGATAATTTCAAAAAGGGCCATTAGCACACAATGTCTGGTACCAATTGTCAAATAAGTTCACAAAAGAGTGGAGGAGATATGCAAGTTTACTGCCAGTTTTAAGTTTTGATTTAAACATTTGTTTCAACTGAATTATACACTTAACTTTTTTATTTTGTGATTTGCCTGTTTTTTAAAACTGAACAAGAAGTTTATGCCTTCAAGGCAAATGCCCCCCACCCCCCAGACCATAATAATTTATTATTTCATTCAAGATTTTCTACTGGCTCAAATAAATTTGTGTCTGTAACCTTATTTAAACCATTTTCCTATAATTTTATGTAATGGTTGCAAATCTGTTCCACTTTTAAAAAAAATTAAAACCCCAATTTAGATGTACAAGTTTGACTTAACAAAAATAAAATTTAACGTGACTACTTATTATCATAATTTCACCCTTTCTCACTGAAACATTGCTCTTGATTGTGAATATCTTCCTTATGTAGAGTGTAAAGATTGGCACAAAGGTCTGTGGTTATTTGATTTTGTTTTGTTTCTATCTACATCTGTTAAAAGGGATAATAAATGAAGGATTGCGTTCAAGCTTTGTGAAGGAAATAGTAGCACAAGATATGTGGAAGCTGGAATCAGAAGACAGGACAAAAGATAGAATGTTGTGTCTAAGACTACTAGCCTTCCTCAGCATACATTTATCCTGTCTTTTGATTAAAGCTTTCACATACTTTGTTCTACTATTTCCCTATTGAAATGGGTAGGATTAATTCCAAGTTTGGGCATATTTGTGTATTTTAAATTTTCTTTTGCTTAAATCATGTGATAATTTGCTTTCCAAAAATCATTCAGATATTGTAGAGTTATAAAAAGTAGAGATTAGTAAAGGGCTATTGGGACTTTTCAGTTGGCAAAGTTTTAAAAAAAAATATACCCCGGTAGCAACCATGATAAGATCTTGACTGCAATTTCTAATGGCTAACAGCATTTTTAACCAGGGTATTAGAGACTTTGTGGGTGATTTATCACTTTATTGTTATTATTTTTTCCTTATGAACTCTTATCAAATTTTTAATAGCAGAACCTGTAGTTTCCATTGGCTTTATGATATTGGTTTATCATTTGTTTGTAAACTTTCAAGACCTTTTGTCTTGTATTATGTTTTGTTCTATCCTAGAACTCATTTAGTTCTAAACATTTATTAACCACATTTTTTTTTTTTTTTTTTAAATTTTTGTTTCACTACCAAAGATCTGTTCAGTTAAATCCACAATTTTATTTCATACGTTTTTTGTTAAATCATACATTTAAGTTGATTTTTGTTTACAATTGACATTTTTCTCCTCATTAAAAAAAAAAAAAAAGAAAGTTCAGATATTTAAAGCCCTGTCTACACAGTCATGATGTAAGAATCCTCCATTGGAGATCAGGAAATGTACAGACGCACTCCTCTGTGATAATAATTAGTTTAAAAAAAAAAAAAAGAGTGAAATGTTTTTTTCATAAAATCTAATTAAAATAATTTGAGAGACCAACTTCAGATTGAGACATCATCCTGCCCTGCACATCTCTGATTTCCCTAGAGATTTCCAATTAAAGCAGGACAGGTACAATTACTATTTATCGATTTTTTTTTTTTTTTTTTTTTTTTTTTTTCTATATTTTTTTTTGTTTTAAACATTTTTTTTTCTTTTTTTTTTTTTTTTTTTTTGAAATTTTTGTTTCACTACCAAAGATCTGTTCAGTTAAATCCACAATTTTAATTCATACGTTTTTAGTTGCAAATGAGCATCGCAGTAAAATTCTTATAATCCAAAAACAGTTGGACCTGGAAGTTTTTTTTTCAAGTTAGGCTAAATTTTAAGTTTAAAAATTAAAACTTAAACCCATACAAATGCTAAATATTGATAATTATTTTAGATAACATTTTTGAAAGGGTTTTCATTGTTCTTATGGACTAAAAATTATATTGACTTTTTTTTTCAAAGAGTGAAGCTAACTTCTAGTCCTTAGTTTCTTTGGCTGTGATTTTGACATTATGTCTAAATTTAATTTGAATTGATTGTGCAATAATTTAATATATTACTTTACTTATACCAATGTATTATACCTATTAACAAACACAGGCTGGTGGGGCTTAAAAAAATGAATACTAGTTATACAGTCCTTGGTTTAAGAAATAATATGCCAGATTGTCTTGAACTTTTTGTGTTTCATGCTTATTCTTTTAATATTACAGTACATAAATTAATATTAGTTAAAAAAAAATAATATAATGTTCTTGATAAAATCAGAATTTTCAGTATTAAATTTTAATAACAATATAATTTACACCTTGTTAACATTGGTGTTGAAATGATCTTGTTTGGTGTTCAGATTAAATTTTACCAAAGTTTATACGCTTTTAAAATTCAGTAGGTTACAAATTTGAGCTGACAGAATTTGATTAAGACTATACACACTGATGACTTGATCAGTTGTATGTGCATCTTATTTTCATGTTATCTGGACCAGTTAGTGTTTTCAATATAACATTCATTCATATTATCAGATCTGATCAGAAGAGGTTTTAGATTGAAAACACACATGAAATAATTGTTTAACAGGAAACCATGGCAACAGAAATATCCTTTGTGTTAAGATTTACTGTTAAAGAAGGTAACAAAGAAATCTCCCTACAGTTTTTAGTAGTGCAACAACCTAAAGAGCACAGATAAATATTTTTAGCTTGCGAAGATTTGACCAAAAAGGCTAAAAATACCAAAAAATAAAGGGAAATTGAATCCTGATGATTTGCTGAGTTAGCTATAACAAACTTTGTTCAAAGAGTCCCAAACATCTACCGGATAAGCTGATCAGTTTTAACTCAAAGGCTAAGTGGACCTAATTTTTTCGATTGTACAGATTTTTTAAAACTAAACACTCAATTCATAACTACGTGACACTTGACACTCGTTTAAAGAATAGACTAAAAAAAATGTAGCCTTCTGACGGTTGAAATCATTTGTTTAAATCATTTGTGAGGCTGCTTTAAGACAAGCATCACACACTGAAACTTATTTTTAATTATCACATGTCATTTGGTGACATTTCATAAGCTAGTAAAAGTCCAATTTTGCTGTTGAATGTTGAGATAAAAGTATGAAATCACATTTGCATTTTGCTGGGACCATAATATTTTTTCATGTTAGATGATTTTTTTGTTGTTGTTAACTGATGACCTTTTTTTTTGGATGATGTTTTGAAAACTTTTCATCATAAAATGTTAGGTCAATGATGGAGATTTTATTTCTTTGCTGGGAAATTATATTTAAAAAAATATTATGTTAGTGTAAAACCGAATCTCTGTAAATTACCTGTTATCTCTGTGAAATGTTCAGACGAGGATCTTGAATTAAAGCATTTATTTAATGTCTCTTTACCTTGATATTTTGATTTCCCTTAAAGTTATCACCCTGACCATTTCTCAGTACCTCTAATGACCAGTGATGAAGATAATGTGGATGAATTGCATCCATCTGATGGTAGACTCTGACCTAGTTAATCTGTGACCTTTGCCATGACCGAATGACCTGTCTCTAGTATAAATTTAGTTACCACACCTTTCATTCCATGGATTGATCTCTGATTGAATAATTCTGTGACCTATGCCAGGGCAGACTGACCTGTCTCTTGTATAGATTTAGATACCTCATCTTTCATTCCATAGGATGGTTTCCATCCGACAATATTATGATTTTACAACTCCAATCTCTATTACAATTTTTTTACCCATTTAAAGGGATCAAAAATAAAAAAGACCTGAAGTTTCAATTGCATGTTAATCAAAATAGAGTATTTCAACATGGATGATATGAGGTTTCATGTAAAACACTTTCTGGCATAATGTCTACATTTACAGACCTAAATTGCTAACAATATGTTTTTGATCTATTTTACATAATTGCCAAAGTGACAAATATACCATAAAAACAGTTTCTCAAGAAACATAATTAACCATGAATCATTGATATTTAAATGGCATGGTGTACATTCTTAATTGAATCTTGATTTTCATTGGATTACATTAAAAATGGTGCAGTATTAAATCATACATTTAAGTTGATTTTTGTTTACAATTGACATGTTTCTCCTCATTAAAAAAAAAAAAAAAGAAAGTTCAGATATTTAAAGCCCTGTCTACACAGTCATGATGTAAGAATCCTCCATTGGAGATCAGGAAATGTACAGACGCACTCCTCTGTGATAATAATTAGTTTAAAAAAAAAAAAAAAGTGAAATGTTTTTTTCATAAAATCTAATTAAAATAATTTGAGAGACCAACTTCAGATTGAGACATCATCCTGCCCTGCACATCTCTGATTTCCCTAGAGATTTCCAATTAAAGCAGGACAGGTACAATTACTATTTATCGATTTTTTTTTTTTTTTTTTTTTTTTTAAATTAAAAATTTACACAATGAACTCCAAATTTAAAAATAAAAAACATACTATATACCCCCCCCCCCTTTTTTTTTTTCGTTCTTTCTCATTTTTTATTTATCTCTTTTTTAAAGTTTATTCATCAGCCTTTTGGCTACAACATTAGAGCTTTCTTTATTTTTTGTTACTGTTTTTTTTAACTTATTTTTTGTTTATTTTTGTGGCGAGGGTTGTGTTGATATGGCTTAACACAGTGCTGTCCAACCCGTGGGCCACTTTGTGGGGTGTCATTACTGATGGTGTTTGAAAAGATGAATAGGGAAACCAAAAGTAACTTGAAGTGTAGCTATTCGGTCATCATAAAATTGTCAATGCCCTCACCTTTGGGACAAATTTAGATGCAATGGATCAGCGACTTAACTATTGCACTTTGTGGGATGATAATAATATGACAGGAAAGTCTTCGGGTCAAAGTAGCAGAGATGGTTATTGGGGTACTAAAGGTAACACAAATGACTGGAGTGGGCAGAGTGAGCCATTCATGAATGGTCCCATATTATTCAAACTGATAGTCTATCCAGGTATGGGAGAATGTGTGTCTATGCTGTATTGTTGTGACATTGGGGACAAGTATCTTCTATTCAGAGATCCGAGTAAGAGATGTTCAATGAGTAGAAAGCAGGACACAAGCTGTGATTGTTTGTAGTCAGTGCAATTCAGTCAGGGAGGAAATGTGAAAGGCAGTTGGAACAATTCTTGACAGTATATTTTTTTTATAAACAGCCATAAGAAAACGTGGCCAAATAAATTATGGAGGACCTCATGTGTTCTTCTGATGAGTTTTCCCAACTATCGAAATGTAACAAAATTTTGACCATGTTTTTGGAAGCACCCTACACCAGTGAAGCTGGTTGCTCTGCAATGACCAACATCAAGTCCAAAAATTATAATACTTTGAATTGTAATACTGGTGAACATTTAGAAATCTGGGGACAGGCTTCTCCTGATTACTACCTCAAGTTAAGACAATGTCAAGTACAATTCAAAGCGAAATATCTCATTAAAAAGAGATGCTGTTTATATTCACTTTATTTATATTCTTGTTAAGACTATAATGCCATTGGATATATGATTCTTTATGCATAAGTGAGAAGTATTCATAATGTGAATAATTTTCCAAAAAGTAAAAAAAATATATATATTTCTTTTGAAATGTCTTTTGCCTCTGGCAATTGGCTGAAATTATTATTTTTTTTGTCCACCTGTTCCACCTAGTCAAAAATTTTGGACAGTATTGCCCTAATATATGACCTTGTTCCAGCCAGCAGTGAATAAACAGTTCATTTTTTTAAAAATAATTGTTGCAACCATTCCAATTCTGTCACAAGTTGTTTAGTTCAATAATAGTATCCAGGGATATCATCCTTTATTTGGTCCAGATTTCTGTGAGAATCTGGAATATATGTCAACTCAGCTTTTTTTAGATGCTATTTTTTCATTTTTTTTTGTTGTGTTGCCTACAATGATATTGATATTCTTATATAACTTCATATATATCTAAACTAGTCTTCTAATGTTTCAAAGACTGGTAGGTGAAGATATTTTATATAGAATAACAGCAACACATTCACTTCTAAAGAATTTATCCACAAATGGGGAAATGCATTTTCTGTAGTAAGCCTTTTAAAATAACTATATATAAATACAGTATTGTTTTTATTTTTCTGTATCCAATAATTTTAAATCCTGCAACTTTACTGTACCCGTGTAGTTTTTGTTTTGGTCTTTTTTTTAATTACAAAAACTCATGGATCATTTGTTGTGTTTTTTGTGCTGGGCAGATATTGTGCTGTGAGGTGAATATTGGCAGACATTATATAATATAAGGTAAATGTAAAAAAAAATCTAAAAGCTTCATAGGTCAGGCACTTCGGTAAAACTTTAAAAGTCATGTGTAAATTAGGAAAATAAAAACTTGTTGTGCAATGCCAAATGAGACTTTGTTGTTTATTTATGATTATGTTACACATTTTCCTTTTTTTTCAAAAAAATAAAAATTCTTTGGTTTATAGGTAATCTATAGTTTCATCCTTAATAAAGTAAGTAGTAAATTGTTCCTTACTTGTATTGAAAATTTCTAGTCACTGTACATCAGTTATATCAGCAAATCTATAACTTATTAATACTTATTGTAAATTTTTTAAACAAGATATTTCATTATAATTAGTTATTAAATTAATTTTATTAAGTAAAATGGCAATTTCATTTTAATATTTGTTTTTTATTTAAATATGGTACATTTAGTGGTTGTTAGATTAAATTATACAGTGGAACCCCACTATAACGCGACTTTGGATATAATCCAGTCGTGGCCCGGCACCAAAATTTTCATAATATATTCATTAAAAAAATTTTGTTTCAAAGTTTGTAAAAATAAAAGATATACATTCTCACACAATACAATCACAAATCCACTGAAACTCATCAAACAGAACACCACATAGCTCACTAAACACAAGATATACGAACATCAATTTAAAAACAAAGCTGTAATAAAAATCCCAACGCTTCCGGTAGTGGCTCAAAACCCCACATTAACGCAACCCTGCTTTAACCCAGTTATTGCATTATAGGGCTAACTGCATAATAATTTAATGATTCTTAATAATTTGTTATTTCATACTTTTAATTATTCAAGTAATCAACATTGTTGCTATAATTAGAAACAACAAACTAAATTAATTTTATCAAGGATGCACCTCCAGGATCTCTTGTATTGTAAAGTACAGTTAAAAAAAACACAAAAAAACTCGTCATTTAAAACTAAGTATTTTGCTAAATACCAATTAATGTACAAAAAGTCAATTGACTGGAAAGGACAGCCCAAATCAAGAAATAATTTTTTTTAAAGATTTAAATAACAAGAAACAAGTTTTAACTAGTAAATGAGAAGCGTGAAAAAAAGGTTTTTGCTAGACTTATATGCAATTCTATTTTTGTAGTAATTTTTCAAACTTTGCAATATGTTACAAAAGTATTTTTTAAATATAATAATTAATAAAATAAATGAAACATTGAATTACCAGTTAGCAGAACAAAACAACATTTCAACAATGCCTTGGTAGGTAAATGAAAAAACACACCATAAATGGAACATACATTTATTTTGAAATAAGGTGAAGGATGAATAATAATTTCAGAAGCTATAACCCCTTGCTAATTTAAGATAAAGGATCATATATGAGGGACTGCGTAAAAGCTGTGTAAAGTAAATAAATAGTGGAACAAGACATGTTTTGGCTTGAATAAAAAAAGACAGGACGTTATGGCTAAATGGTTCCTTCGGCAGACAAGACAAAACAAGTGACAACAAATACAAATTAAAAAAATTATGAAATTTGGAAACGAAAACGCTCTGTTGGAAACAGAAGTATAATTGTTAAAAAAACAAAACGTGCCTACATAGTTCACGGTGAAAGAGATTAAGTATTATGAATATAAAGGTTAGTATTGTAAGTGACATAAAATGCAAAAAGAAATGGGCAGAAATTGAGGCTCACTATTAAGAGATTATTTGATTGATTCCATTAAGGGGATGAAAATCTGAATTACAGCTGTGATGAATATAATAGATGTGCCTGTGTTCACCTCCCTTGAAATGGGAAGAGACCACCAATGGCTTCTTTATTTCAATATCATAAAGATGTTCACTGTACCTTCTTCCAGTCTCATCTATATAACAGGTGGCAAAAATCACATAGATAAATAAGGGGAGTGGCAGGGAAGTACTTCAATGGTTTTACTATTTGGGGCTAGTTGCCATTGCATGGAAAAGCATATTTTAAAAAACAACAAATGTTAGAATTCTGATACTTAGGTTATTACTGGACAAATTTTCAGCAAAGATAAGGAAGCATCCTGTGATATCCTAATTTTGTTAAGAGCAAAAATTGAATAACTTTAGATTTCTTGCAAAATACCCTATTACTCTTAGCAGTAGTAAAATGAAGTTAAGACATCTGACCCTCTTTGGGGAACACAAAGCCACAATAAAAAAAAATTCTCAGACAGTTTATGAGGGCAGCATAGCTAAGTATTCTATAATATAACAGAAGGATGGAATAGAATTGGCAGTGAAAATTAAATGTATTCATTTAAATCAGCTTTGAATTTTTTAGAAAAAAAAATCCTCCTATCATTGAAAACATAATTCAGCTTGAACTTAAATTTAAAAAAAAAAAATTACAAACATAAACCGTTATTCCTGGGAGACTCATATGCAGTTTTTTGTATTATAGGCAATTTACACCAAATTTGAAACAGTGATTTGTGTGTTAAAAATATGGTAAAAGAGTAATTTTTTATGCAGAGCAAATGTTCAACTAATTTTGCCCTAATGTAAAAAATATTGTGGTTGTAATTAAAGTATTTACATTTAATATCCCTTAGTTTTTAATTTTGTTTATGTTGCAGTATAAAGTATATATAATAAAATCTTTGATTCCTAGTAAAATTGTACTTCCCAAGAAAAGATAAAGATATACACTTTATTTCATATTTCTTTTTGACAACCTTTTAACTGAAAAGAAAAAAAAACAACTATTGAAATGTGACAGAAAATAAAAAACTTGGTTTTTACATATGATAAACAAAGATTTAATTTTTAAGTTTTATCAAGAACACACCAGCTGAACATTATTGTTGCAATAAGTAATAAACATACCAACTTCCAGGAGAAGAAATAGAAACTCAGATTAAATTTTTTTTTTTTTAATAAAT